CACCCAGAAAATAGAGGCTATTTGAACCTATTCCAAATACAGTTCTTGTAGGATGAAACACATGATAGTATGAACAAACTTGTACTAACTGACTTTTTGTGGGTAAAAGATTGTAAGTCTCCTATTCTGAGAATGTAGGAACAATTTTGAGTTCTTCATCGAATAATGTAACTCCAGTGTTACTTTTATTCTCTAATTTTCCCCAAGCAATATACATATGTAATGAGTTCTGATCTTCCCATCATTTTGATGTCTTACGCTGCCTTTTCCCTAAAGCTCTAGAGATGAAACAACAGCAATACCCCACGCTGGAGAGGGAGACATTTCTAGAAGAGAGAAATTTTTCCGTTTGAACGGTAAGGGAGGTGGATAAAGATCTTGAAGATGGTCTGGTAGCCTTGGTAGCCTTCATGGCTACGTCATTCTGCACAGACAGTCTCAGTGACTGCTGCTGTTTGAAGCACCACAGAATGGCAGGGATGTCAGGCAGAACTGATCTGTTGGGTTGCTCAAGTTGCAGTGGTGGACTGTTCAGTGACTACCTTGCTAGAGAATTAAGTGGAGTGATCACCCATACTTCCATAACCAACTGGATATGTTTATGGATGTGAAAACCTGCTGAAATCACAGCAGACACATGATGCTTATTTTGATAAAAACGCATAAGAAAATTATCAAGCAGGCAAATAAGATCTTAACTTGTGCTTTTGGGTGGCACCACAGACGTGATATTGGTGGATTGTGTTATTAACAAGTTGATCTAATCTGTACATGGATTTTTTTTTTTTAATGAAATAGAAAAACGTATGAAGGTCATTATTTCTGATGTGGCATTTGGACTGTATTCCTTTTATGTCTGGGTATTTGCCCTCCTATCCTTTTTACTTCTTTACCAGGCTGTTGGGAGTCATGTGCTTGACGCACATGGATGATGTCTCCTGTCAGTTTTTCACAGTGAGGCATCCCCAGCATCCCACACCCCATTCCATCTTGCACTTTCTTCCACAGCTTCAGACTTCCTGTAATCCTGCAGCAGAGTCCAGCTTCCTTTCGTCCTGTGCTGTGGAAAATACAATCATCATCTGGTAAGATGTAAAACAGGGGAAAAAACCCAACAATTTACCAGTAGAAAGTGCTGCTGGCCATTGTTCTTACAGGATTGTAACTTTAACCCTGCTGTGAATTACCAGCTAATTTGTTTTACATTCTCACTGGCATTGTACAGGAACTGGATTTCCCCATCACAAAATACTCACTGTACAGAGTCACATTGCTGCACAGGCTCTGGAAAATGGGATTCTGGATAAGAGCTGGGGAATTTCACCTGAACCTGATCTAGACTTCCCAGTTGTCTGCAGGCCAGCAGTAACCAAGGTCCAGGAAGGGGGTTTGTGGTGGTTACTCCCAAAGAGGTACCTGGACCACTAGGGCAGCAGTAATTTCACTGCTGTAAGGAATTGGAGGTTTGATTACAGAAGAAAATTAAACTTTGTGGAAGATGAAGACTATTGCTAAGCTGTCTAAGGCAAATTGTAATTGATTTGCATTGAGGGTTTTTTCTCTCTTGATCAACAGATGCTTCTCAGAGCTATTAAAAGATACTTGGAAAGGAAAGTCCATGAGATGAGAGAAAAAAAAAGGTTAGTATTCTCTCCCTGGGAAGGAGAGCGACTCTTTGTAATGCAGTCTTGAATCAAGAGTTCTCTCAGCACAGATAAAAGCTTAGACAAAATTATTAGCAAAATTATCTTTGATTTCTGATGGATTAGAGTACAGTGCTTAGAGGAATTAGCTGCATCCTATCAAGGCAGACTTTTTCAGTGGGTGAAAAGAAGGGAGTCTTGCTGATCCTTTTCTAATTCTATATTAAATTACTTTTTCCACAAAAGGCTTGTAGAAGTTCAGCCTGCTTTCCCTGCTTGGGTTCCTAGCACTCTCACTCCTGCAGGTATTTTGTAGAAATTACCTGAGCAAATTTTGCTGCTAGAAATGGAGCTGGCTACTGCTCTGTTCCCCTTGGGGAATAGTAAGGGGTACCGGGAAATAGGAGGTGGAATAATTTCAATTGGCATACTTTGGAAAAACAGCAGTAAATGCAATAAATCTATTCTACCAGTAAGATTCTCTCCTTGCTTTTATTTCTATTTTTCTGGGTTGATTTCCCCTTTTATTATTCCAGCTTCTTTCCCCTACAACTCTTGTTAAACTCATAAGGTACTCTTCTTAGGCTGAGATGGGGACAGGTTTCCACAATAAAAAGTAATTTCCAGTTTTTTGTGGTAAATATCTGCAAAACATGACGCGCTTCTGAAAAATGTCTTGGGAACACAATTTTTCCTTATGCAATAGGAGCTCATATTTGAGAAGCTTGATACTACAGAGCACTGGGGGTTTTTTACTAAATAGTTTAAGGAAAGGCTTAAGAGTGCTGTAAAGAAAGTTAATATTCTAAAAGTTTTGTGGGAGGTGTTGCAGAAGTTGTTGCTCTTGTGATTCCTGCCTTGCAAAAATGAGACTCTTTTCTTCTACTGTGCTTCTCCCCTCTCCCAAACTTTGAATTTTTTTATTTTTTTTTTTTTAAAAGGGGCAGCCCAGTTAGACCTGTGCCAAAGGGACCGTGCAGTGTTTCATGTTCCCATGGAGATCTTTTTTTTGCCTCAGCTCAGCCCCTCACTCCCCGAGTACCAGCTCTGTATTCAATTGCCTTCTCTGTCACTCACTGCCTCCTGCATGTTCAGGGCCAGCCACAGCCTGGCTCATCCTGCATCACCAACGTGCTCTCTGGCTTGTGTTTTGCTGCTGAAATTTGAAATGAAACTCGTTTGCTTGCAGGCTATAATGAGGAACTTTTTCCTTCATTTCAAACTACAGTTTGTGGAGCGGTAAGGCATCTTAAAACCAAAAAACCACCCTTGCTCTTCATGGCATTAATGAAATGAGTGACAATCTAAACCTATCACTGTTAGAAAATGCAGGGGTTTCTTTTGCTATTTTGCACTTTAGCTCTAAAATACCCAATTCTCTGTGAGGCCTAAGTCTTACAGTTTTGACTCTTAAATCCATTTCTCAGCATCTCAGTCTTGTTTAATCATGCAATTCAGTGTGCTCTGATGTTTATAAATAAGAAAATTTGAAGAGGGAGATCCCAGCTTGACAATGAAAAAACAACTCAGAATTCACCCACAGAATTCAAATTAACTGTGACTGGAGAGGAAAAATGGGAGTGAAAATAAAAATGATAGTCGAGCTGAGAGAAAACTGAGCTTGAAGCCACAGGAAAGCATGGACATAGTATTTTGGGTTTTGGTCCTCCTGCCTCCTGTATGCAAGTAGTCTAGGAACAAAAACAAAGCAAAGCACACCTGGCCTAGGTGCCCAGGGTGCAAGGTGCTGTTGCTGCTCTGATGGACCCTGCCAACAAATCTGGACTGATTGCCAGCTGGAGGTGTGTTTAGCACACCAGGCTGCTGTTGTGAGTCATGGGGTTACTAAAAAATAGCTCTTAGTTTCAGAAAGAAATGCACTGAAAAATAAATGAGCAGGTAGCTCTGACAAGCTTTCGGATGTCAACCTAGCGCTCTTGTCTCTGTCTTCACGGTTTTGCAGAACACAGCTACGCTTCTGCATGATTGCTGGGGTAGGGGATGAGCATTGAGACAATATACAGATTAATACAATGAGTGTGTGTAGAAATGTAAGACGAGTGCTCATGTATAAGCTGGAAGTACTAGGTCTGCTGTATTTTCATAGCAATTTTGTGCCTTGCCTGCCTGGACTTATCTCTTGCAGCTGCATTTCCAGTGCCTGACATTGAGGTCCCGTGGCTGTTGTGGCCTGCGCTGCCTCGAAGAACACGCGCTGAGCCTGTTCTCATCCCCCAGCCCATGTGTTTCAAAATGATCCCTCAAAGTGCTCAGGCATCCACCACTCTCCATCGCTTTAAATGACAACTACTGCGTTTGTGAGTAGTAGTTGGCAGTAAACAGAAATAATGATATATAGTGATTTCTATAAATAGAAATAGTGATATATTTCTAGTGTATAGAAATAATAGTGATTATTTTTTCCCTGCCTGTGGGAATACAGAAGACCCGTGGCAGTGGATCCTGTGCTTCTGGGCTTGTCCAGTGAATAAAAAGGGCTCCCCTACCCCTCTGACCGTGCATGGGAAAGCAGTGCCAAAGCACAAGGGGGGGAAGATCCAGCGAGAAAAACTCTGCCTTCACTTGGGATGATGAACAGGTCGGGGCAGCGTCTCCTTGGTGTTCAGTCAACACGGAGGGACCTCCCAGCCTCGAGTGCCCTGCGGTAGGGCTGGGACCCGCCTCAGGACCCTCCTCTGCCTTTGCCTTACCTGCCTCCGGGGCTGGGCCGCGGCCTCTCCCTGTCCCTGCCGCCGGCCCGGCCCGGGGCTGG